CGGCAGAGTTGGTAGGTATGCCTAACAGTAGAAAAACCAATTAATTTCGATAATATATTATACCACTTTTTCTATAAAAATATCTAATTCTATAAAAATATTCTAATATCATTTCAGTATATAAATTCGGGACAAAACGGGTTAATATAATTTCTCCTCTTTAAAGGCATATAAATTTAAGACTCGTTCTAAATTGAAGTGGTCAGTTTAACTCATTAACGAATTTTACGCGATTGAAAAATCGATGGAGATGAGTTTGACTTAATACTTATCTCTATTATTGGATGCAAGATTATGGAAAGGAGAAAACATGTGAAATATGAGTTTGACCCCTTAACGATCTGTTAATTTTCAGGAAAACGGTCATAAAAGTGCCTATTTTTTTGGCTTTTGTCTTTGTATTACGTATTTGATTAGTGCTGCAACTAGTTTAAAATAAGCTAACTATTTACAATTACCTTAAAAATATCCTGGTACTGCCATCAGGTGTGTAAAATGAGAAATAAAATGTTTTCCGGGCAAAAGAAATGAATTTGTTTATTCTTATTGGCGCGTTACTGCTAAACATTCCAGCCTGTCAATATCACGGGAGCGAGAAATAGCGAGCAAAATCTCACCTCGTCATTTTCAAGGAAGCGAGAAGGAAGGAGTTAATTAAATAAAAGTAGGGATTGAAAGTATATAATTGATTTTCTTTTTTAAGAATGTTCTTTGACTGATAAATATATTTCATTCAAAATTTTCTTTTCTTAAAAATTGTTCTTAACCCTTTCCACTCGAGTGGTGACTATCAGTCATCACTACCACCAGCAAATTACCCACCACTCTAATTGGGAAATTTTTTTTCATCTTAATGTTTAGTTACTACTTCATTCCGTGATTTCGGGGTATTATATAGTAAATTTGAAGAAAAAAAATCTTTCAAAAATGTTAGTGGTTGCGTCCATTTTTTAACCGTTGAAAAGACTAGAGTAAAGAGTAAATTGATAAAAATAATTGTTTCTTTTTTATCAAAAATATCGACATTTTTGGAGGAAACCGCGATGAAAGTGAAACAATCATAGATTTTAGTGAATGTATCTCTTATTGGCAATAGAAATATGAAAATGTATGAGATGGATTTTATTTTCTTTGAAAAATTTAAGCTAAAAATTTTTTTGTGAGAAAATATGTATTGGTATTTGCTTTTTTTTATACTGCAGTTGTAATATAAATAAAAAGATTACGTATGAACTGTATAAATTAACAGTTATATATTCATAAAACTATCTATGTTAACAGTTTTGTGATATAAAATAAACTGTTCCGTTAACTTGAACAGTTTATGTTTTTAACATAAACGGTTTTGCAGACGAAACAGTTTATACAAAAAAAAAAAACTGTTTATTCGGGGACATTTGTAGGGCTCGAGGCATTATAGTGATAACTCATATTTCTTTAATAGTGAAATTTTTACATCAAACTGTTTTTTAACATTTGTTAACAGAAAGACAAGTTTCAACAACAAGTATAAAGTTCTCCTATGCGCAGAGATATCTTGTTGCCTCTATAGAAATAGAAATCGTGTTTTTCTTCATAAGCTCTCAAGATCTCTCTAGAATAGTTTAAAAATGTCTTTTATCATTATAATGCCCCAAGTTCCTCATTTTATATCTTAGAATAAGCTTTTCGAATTTGAAGGGAAAAAAAGGAAAGAATGACCTCTGTTTTTAATCGATTTCGCCTTTAAACTTAATGAGTGTTTACATTCCATTCGAGAAACTTTATTACAACAAGGATTTTAAGTGAGAATTACACCAATACACAATAGACATTATTATTTAAAAATATAGTATAAACCGTCGTTGAACAGCCAACCAAATTTTGAGTTTGCGACTACCAATGTTCAACTCCGCGGCATTGTAATTTTGAACCCAATCCAGAAGACAAGGAAACTCCTGGATGAAGTATTGGGAGAAGTTTGCCTTCGTGGAGGACTTTTTAAAGAGACTAACCCGCATTTGCGTTGCAGGGAGATGAAAACCTCCCACGGCTGGCATGACAGCAAAGGCACTTTAACCCATGATCCGTCTACCACTGAGGATATTTTACGTCATCACTGTGGTTGGTGTGAACCGGGTGCAGAATTCTCATTGACCAGATATTGCTGGGATTAGAACCGGTTTCACCTCATTAGGAGGCGAGTGCTCTATCCCTTGCTTCACAAATAAATATAGTAAATAGGCATAAATCTATTTATTATGAATGATATTTTTTTATACTCAAAATATTTGGTTTACCGGAAAATTGCCCTCGATCAACTACATAACCCATTTTAGAGTGATAGAAAAAGTTTCTTTGCAGACTAAATGTGGTAGGGCATTTGCCCTTTACGTATAACGTACGTATTTCTCCTTTTTCGCAATACGTAAATTCAACATTTTGTCGTAACAAGATAATTACATATATGAAAAGGTAGGTAGACATTTGTGCTTAAGCAAAGTGTGGACAGTTTCTATTATCGGTTACCATTGTTAGTTTGAAAAATATCACAAAAGAATTAATTAAGGTTGACTTAAAGAAATTTATACTGTTACCCAATCATGTCTTTAACAAATGTCATAATTTTGAAAATTTAATACTGAGAAGGAAACAATTCAATTGCCCCTCTTTTAACATACCTGGCAACTCTTCCGGATTTTCCGAAATATTTTACTTGGCAGGCATGTTTTAAAAAAGTCACATGTTTTCAAGATGGTTTAATTGTGAACACCTGGAGCAAGCATTGGGACAAACTAGCCATCATGGAGGATTTTTTTTTGATGGAACTAACTCGCATTTGTGTTGCATAGTGATAAAACCACGAAAACTTCCCACGTCAATGGGATTCTAGCCCATGATAAGTCAATCACTGAGGATATTATACGTCAGCGCTGTGGTCAGTGTGAGCCGGGAACCGAGTTCGTAACAATCAGCCACTTCTGGAATTCGGACATGGGTGACCTCATGGTAGTAATAATAGTAACTAGTTGCTTTACTTTAGAACAAATGCCTTCCCTCTTTTTTCTTATTAAGGCGGTTTTCTTACCTCTAAAATGTTGCATTTACATCCCCTTGGCCTAGCCACAATGCCTAGCCACTTTTTATTTCATATGAAGTATATTTTTGAAATGGGCATGCACTTTATCAGGTTTCCAATACACAATATATCATTGCTCTTAATTCTTCAAAAATAGTAAAATCTATAACTGCAAAATTTACAGCTAAATTTATATTTGATTTACTTTTTTCTTCTTCAGGNCAGAAGACAAGGAAACTCCTGGATGAAGTATTGGGAGAAGTTTGCCTTCGTGGAGGACTTTTTAAAGAGACTAACCCGCATTTGCGTTGCAGGGAGATGAAAACCTCCCACGGCTAGCATGACAGCAAAGGCACTTTAACCCATGATCCGTCTACCACTGAGGAAATTTTACGTCAGCACTGTGGTTAGTGTGAACCGGATATTGCCAGATATTGCTGGGATTCGAACCTGTTTCACCTCATTAGGAGGCGAGTGCTCTGACCCCTGCTACACAAATGAATATAGTAAATAGACATAAATCTATTTATTATGAATGATATTTATTTATACTCAAAATATTTGGTTTACTGGAAAACTGCCTTCGATAAACTACATAACCCATTTTAGAGTGACAGAAAAAATCTCTTTGCAGAATAAATGTGGTAGGGCATTTGCCCTTTACGCATAACGTACGTATTTCGCCTTTTTCACAATACGTAAATTCAACATTTTGTCGTAACAAGATAACTACATATATAAAAAGGTTGGTAGACATTTGTGCTTAAGCAAAGTGTGGACAGTTTCTATTATCGGTTACCATATTTAGATCACAAAAGAATTAATTAAGGTTGATATAAAGAAATTTATACTGTTACCATATCATATCTTTAACAAACGTCTTAATTTTGAAAATTTAATGCTGAGAAGGAAACAATTCAATTGCCACTCTTCTAACCCTTTTGAAGGCCGTGGTAAGTATACTTACCACCACGTTTTACCACTTTTAATTTAGGTTTCCATTTTTCAATAACTTCAGCTTTCCTGAAGTGAGTTTGAATAAAATTGGTAACCATTTGTCACTTTTAAAAAACGTATAAAAGTTATAAAATTCATAATTCCTTTAAGTTTGTAGCATTTAAGGAATTTATTTTATAAATAAAGGAAAATAAAAGTTAGTAAGTTCCTAATAGGTCATGTTAAATATATTTACCACCAAAAAAATGGCATTTTTATAAACTAAATGAGTTTTTCTTTAATATCAATTACTGTTCTTAAAACAATTTTAATTCCAAAAATACTTTAATTTACCTTTACTAGAAATAAAGGGCCCATTAAAGGGTTAACATACCTGCCAACTCTTCTGGATTTTCCGAAATATTTTATTTGGCAGGCATGTTTTAAAAAAGTCACATGTTTTCAAGATGGCTCAATTGTGAACTCCTGGATCAAGCATTGGGACAAACTAGCCACCATGGAGGATTTTTTGATGGAACTAACTCGCATTTGAGTTGCATAGTGATAAAACCACGAAAACTTCCCACGTCAAGGGGATTCTAGCCCATGATAAGTCTATCACTGAGGATATTATACGTCAGCACTGTGGTCAGTGTGAGCCGGGAACCGAGTTCGTGACAATCAGCCACTTCTGGAATTCGGACATGGGTGACCTCATCGTAGTAATAATAGAAATTAGCCGCTTTATTTTAGAACAAATGCCTTCCATTTCTTTCTTATAAAGGCTGTTTTCTTACCTCTAAAATGTTGCATTTGCATCCCCTTGACCTAGCCACAATGCCTAACCACTTTTTTTTCATATAAAGTATATTTTTGAAATGGGCATGCACTTTATCAGGTTTCCAATACACAATATATTATTGCTCTTAATTCTTCAAAAATAGTAAAATCTATAACTGCAAAATTTACAGCCAAATTTATATTTGATTTACTTTTTTTTCTTCAGGACAAAATGGAAGAGACAGAACAGTCAAAGGCTGGAACACTTACGACAGCAATCACAAGGGGTGGCCAAAGATGTGCCTGGGGCAGGACCTCTTGGACCAACTCCACATCCACTTGATGGTCCTCTTGTCTCGGCCACGTACTACGGCGCATGCGTAGTGCCCACGTCCAGCACGACATGTCTCCTTCCTCCGGGCATTTTAAGGAACGTGTACGTGCCAGGATTCCAAATGTAAACTGTTGAAGTGGAGAACTATTGGACTTAATGGATTGGACATTTGTATATACATTTGATTGATTGTCTTCAAATATTTGAACAGTATAAAGTAGTATTTTTATCCAATGAAATTGAGTCATTCTTTGCCTTAAGTGTTGCCATTCATCGATGAGAAAAGTATTTTTATTGATCTCGCGCATTTCTGGGAGATTGATTTCGTTAACTGAAGATTAAGATGCAAAAGAGCCTTTAAAGACTTATGTTTTAAAATTAAGCACACGTAATTTTTAGTTTTTTTTCTTTTTCTTTTTTAAAACGGCTTCTGAAGTTTCCACAATTTAATATGCTCATGAAGTTCCTCTGTATAACTCCTTCGGACCTGGCGTGATCCATGTTAACTTAATGAACATCACGGGATTTTTGTTTTATTTGATGATGAAACTGCTATTGCATTATAAAGGAGATATCTTGAAGTTATTGGGCATATTTCAAATGAAGGAAATATCTTGTTGCTTTTTCTTTAAGATATTTAATCATTATATTCATCATTTACATTAAGTTTTCAATATAACTAATCATAACTGTTTGCTGCAAACCAAACTATAGGATAAAATTAGTTCTGGAAAGCCTCTCGTAAAACATATAATTTTACCAAACTAACAAAAATACAAGGCTGCCAACTGTGGCAAAAATTTTATAAAGTGGCAAAAGATTTAAATCTATTACATTTAAACAATCAAACATTCGCATAACTTGCCACTCGTTCAATTCATTTCGAGGTGAGTCTGTTAAAAGAATTGACGAAATGAGACAAAATAATGTAAGTTTTAGTTTTGAATTCTTTACCACTTTATAAAACATTTTGTTGAAAGTGGAGCAGTTGGTATCCCTGCAATTGCGGTCGGGCATTAATGTGACTAAGATGTTTTCCGAAACCAGAATGGCCTCTAAATTATAAGTGGTAATAAAATAATTCATATCTGGTTTAATTTTGTAAAGAATATAATTTTCATTTTCTTAAAAATTGATGCTTTTTTATCTGCAAAAGATAAATATTGAGTCATGATTAAAAAGTTTTTTTTTCTTAAAATAAAGAAGGAAAAAAAAGTAAGTGCTATTGCAAAATAAGCACTATTGTCTTCTAGCACCATTGTGTTATCGCGGTAAAGTATTGGTCCGCGAAAATTTTTAGAGTCAAAAGAAGTACACGCTATTTAAATTCAAAAATTAGTATTTACTTTCTATTATTATTCCTGCTATAATTAAAGGAATTTTTATTTAATCTAGATATTTATTTTTTTCTTGCATGGTACCAAATTCCCGGGTATTTCTCCATCGAAGTTGGCACAATTTGAGCCGTACTCATAGTGCTCAAAATAAAAAATGGACCACCCTGGATAACTTTTGCACAATAGTTATCAGCTCTAGTTGATCTGTTCTAACTGAGTTCCAGATCACGTTCTAGGACTTAATTTTATTGATTTGAGAGGATGATTTCAAATATGCTAATTAATTAATGTAGACAATATATTAAGTTACGAAATCAGACATAAAAACGTTCTTTCCTGAATAAACATACCTTTTTTTCTACGGATTCGAATTCCTGACCTCCAAAATTTATGGGCAGCCGCAATCTGGGAAATATGGTCCCCGTAGTTTCGTTAGAAGAGAGGTTCAAAGTTCTGATCCCTTAAATGTTAATTTTATTTTTTGCGAATTTTGCCATATCTCGAGAACTTTTTAAGGAATTGAAAAATTTTGCTTAGAATTATAAATTCGTTTACCCGAACATAATTGTATGCAAAAATAACATTTAATAAATATATATTATTTATTATTTTTTTTTGTTGTTGATAATAATCGAAAACATTTTGAACTGTAAGCTATGTAATTTTACATCATTTATAAGAATGTAATATTACATGGTAAAATACAAAATCTGAGCGAAATCGGTCGAATAGTTCCTGTGGAATCGAATTTTAAAAAGCTGTGTTTTGCAATTCAATTTCTCAGCAACTATTCAACGGATTTTGCTCATATTTCCTATTTTATCATGTAAAATTACACTCTTTAAAATGATTTAAAAAATTGTATGCCTTACAATTCAAAATTCTTTCGACCATTATTAAAAATAAATAATGATTAAAAGTGTTGCATTATAATTTCTTATATTTTAGTAAATTAAAATTCAATGAATTTTGTCCACTACTGTTTATAAATTATTTAAAATGATGTACAAAAAGTAAGATTGCGTTCTGCTGAAAAGTTCATAAAGACTACTGTTGCGAAAAGGCAATATTTTACCTTGACGAAAAATGCACTGCTTAAAAAAAAGTGGTAGGACATATACAGAGATGCCAACTGCTCCGGACACTCCAAAATAATTAAAAAAAACGGTAAATAACTCCAAAGTAAATTTTGCAAATATTTGAATAATTTTACTTGCGTTTTAAGACGTATAACGTGACGTAAGTACTATTAAGTGGTGAATTATATAAGCCTACGAATTGTTTAGAAATAGTGGTGGATAAAAATCCACTAAATTGAACTTATTAAGCTAAGAATCACATACTACCACTTTAAAATATATATTTGCTTTCCGGAGCAAGTTGGCATCTCTGCATATACGAGTATGCTTGACTAATCCGACAATTTAAGCTGCTGTTTTAATTTTAAAAATATTACAATAGTCTAATTTCAGATAAGAATACAAATATTTATATATTTAGCAAAATATGGTGATAAATTAATGTCGGTTTTTTTCTAAGATAACTTTCAAGAATGAAATAATTGAGTCACCAGTCTGAACGATTTTGAAAAAAGTTCGCAAGAGCTTTGGCTCTGATCTCTGCATTCGGGGAGTTTTCAAACTAAAATCGTAACTAACTGAAAAAACAAACATTTAATTGATGTAAACATGGTTTTATAACAGGGTTCCCACAAGTGGTAAGAAATTTTAAAAGAGGTTTCAAAAATAGGACCATCATCGATCTTTTTAAGCATTATTGTTCACCAATGCATAACATTTTTAACACGTTGAATGCCACGATAATTTTACATGGCTTGCCCGTCTGGCCAAACTGTAAATAACTACTAACTAAATTTGCAAATTAGCCGGCCAGGTGGCCGAGTGGTCAGCGTGTCTGACTGTGAAGCCAGTGGTTTCGGGTTCGAATCCCGCTCAGGGCATGGATGTCTCTCTCTGTGTGTGTTTTCTATTGTGTGATGTGTGAATGTGGCCCACCCTATAAACGGGTATGTGGTAGTGTGGCGTGGGTAATGTTGCTCGCCTCCGTGACTTAGGTTCACAGGTGCCCACTGGGTAACGTTAAATGAGTAACACCTCCGGCATCTNAAAGTGAGACCCTGTCTCAAAAAAAAAAAAAAAAAAAAAAATTGCAAATTATTAGGCAGATTTTGCTAGTTATTTAATTAGTGAATTATATAAGCCTACGAATTGCTTAGAAATAGTGGTGGATAAAAATATACTAAATTGTATTTATTAAACTAAGAGTCACTATTAATAAACTACCACTTGAAAATATTTCTTCGCTGTCCAGGGGCAAGTTTGCATATAAATAAAAATATTTTTGTGTGTTCTATATTGCATTAATTTCTTCAAACCATTTTAGTAACGATAATAATTCAGAGATGCCAACTTGCTCCGGACAGCAAATATATATTTTAAAGTGGTAGTTTATCAATTGTGATTCTTGGTTTAATAAATTCAATTTAGTAGATTTTTATTCACCACTATTTCGAAATAATTCGTAGGTTTATATAATTCACCACTTTTAAGTACTTATGTCACCTTTTAAAAAGCAAGCAAAAATAGTCAAATATTTGCAAAATTTACTTTGTAGTCATTTACCGTTTTTTTAAATTATTTTAGCTAGTCCGAAGCAGTTGGCATCTCTGATAATATAAAAAAAATTAAAAATTTACTCGAATTGTGTGTTTCTTATAATATTGGCTTCGCCGGTCACCGGTGACCTCAGTGGTGCTACGAATAAACTCTGTGCCGGTCACCGGTAACCCTTATGGCATTCAACGTGTTAAAAAAATCAGCTTTCTATATTCTAAACTTTCAAGTGGCAAAATAGAAGAGAAAATTCATACTAGCATCAATGTCATAACTTACAACTACTACTTTTAAATTTTTTAAGGATCCGCGGAAACTCATTATTACTATTTTTAACTTTTTTTTAAATATTTATTTAACATATCTACAGTCGACGCATATACATGGCACTCGCTAATAACCACTTTTAAAGTAATTTTTTCAGAATGCGTGTTAATGAAGTTGAAAAAATATCCACACTACGAATTATCGCAAATTATTATTTTAGCTCAGAAGAAATAAAAACGCTATTAAAATGTAACAAAACTCTATTAAAGAAGACGAACATCTAAACCTGTTTGATTGGGCCAGGAAACTGAGAATTATTAAAACACCTTTCTCTGGCAATGAAACAGGTTTTTACGATTTTACCCGAGCTTTCCTCAAAAGAGATTTGTCTGATTTCGATAGTGTTTTTCTTTTTAATTTGCTACACTTAAAGCGTTACCTTTTGGACATGAAGGATTTCAAAATGTAAGTTAACCCCTTGGGGACGGGTGATTCAGAAAAGCATTCGTACAAAATCAGAATCAAGTTGCAATTAAATAAAAAACGGTAACTTAAATGTAGTCGTTACTAATTTGACAGACTTACTTTGCTTTTATTTTAATTATTGTTAGTTTAATAATATATATAATCGATGTTAATTCAAAGTATAACTAAATAGTTTTATTTTGAACAAAGTAATGGTGAATTAAATAAATCAAACAATTATAACTCCGCCCACAAATAAACTGCTAAAGAAATACTTTGATTACCAGTTTTATCTTTTCACCCTGATTGATACGGTTTTTTGCTGTCACGTATTTGTGACAGTCGGCGCGAAAGGGTTAAGAGAGGAGTTAACGAATTACCTTGTAAACATTAATTTTCCATCTAACTTTCAGATCTGTGTCTGCAACGTACGATATATTTTAAATCGTACTTACTCTT